GAGCCTCTACCACGTTAAATTAGGTATGTTTTTATACAAATTCAAGGAATTGGATGAAAGATTGGATATCTTTAAGGCTTCAAACAAAAGTTTCGAAGTTGCTACGAATGCTGTTTTCCTGGCAGACTTCGAGCACAAGCAAGCTGCTAGAAAAACAGCCTTCGTAGCAACTTCGAGCCTTTTGTTTGAAGCCTTAAAGATATTCAATCTTTCATTCAATGCCTTGCCTTTGTATAAAAAAATACGTAATTTAACGTGGTAAAGGCCCCTGGATTTGACTCGCATCCATGCTTGTCAAATTGAGCTCCATAGTAGGCTTGACAAACACGTTGCCAGACTTAGCCATTTTCAGGCAGTTTCCCAGTTTTGGCATAGCCTTTTGGTCAGGTTCAAAAATGGTCTTCTGGACTTTCTATTGAGCTCCCAAGTACTTTAATGTGTAGAGGGACACTTCAGCTTCAAAACAAGCCTTTAATCTCCAATTTCCATCTAGCCAATTGTAAGATATGAATCTCCAAAGTAGGCACCATGAAACTGTTTGTACACTGAAACAACTGATTAGGTCGACCTGATCCTATATGAGGTCGACCGAAAAGTGCATGTCACCGTGACATGCATGTCACTGTAGCAAAGTCCTAACATTAAATGTATAAGTTTAGGTTGTACCATAAAACAATTTGTACCATTATGTTATGGTACAACTTTATAACTTGAAGTTGTACCATCACATAAGAGGCATTTTAGTGTGCTTTATAGTATTGGTACTATAAAACATCTACAGCCATTAGATCATGTCCAAACTATATCAACCATTAGATTTCATTTAAATTATTAATTTATTATTTTATTTGTGTGTTGATGACCGGTACAACCGGTTGTCTGAAACCAATTACACTCTTCTTCCTTCGAAACCAATTACACTCTTCTTCTCACCGCCGAAACCCCTCTTCCTTCGATCCTCTTCCTTCCTTCGATCCTCTCCACGCAGCTAGCGAGCAGTGAAGACGGCGACAGTGAAGACGGCGAGCAGTGGGTGACGACGAGTGAAGACGGCGAGCAGTGGGTGACAACGAGTAGAAGGCGGCAGTGAAGGCGGCGATTCGGATTCCGGATTCCGACGACGACAGTGAAGGCGGCGAGCAAGGGACGACGAGAGCGAGCATCTCTTCGTCGATTGCAAACGAAGACCCTCTTCCCATCGATAGCTAACGAAGACTCTGCACAAAACCCCTCTTCCCATCAATAGCAAACGAAGACCGCTGACCTACCTCCTCCACCGCAACTTTTTTCGGTTAGTACTATCTTCTTTGTGTTTAGCTTGATAATTAGCTGCAATGGCGGTTCCTGTTGTTCCTTCACTTGTTTTGAAGGAGAATTTGAAGCATTTACCTTCTCTTCACCTTGTTTTTGCTGTTGAGGTTGTGCTTGATTTGTCTCCGTTTCAGCAACATCCTTAGCAGGCTCTTGTTGTTGTTGTTGTTGTTGTTCCTCAATCTTCTTCTGTTGAGGAGGAGCATTGGGTTCTTCTGTTGTTAGGGTAGAAGAATTCGAGTCTGAAGAATTCACAGCAGTTGTGGTTGTTGTTGTTGTGGTTGCGGTTGTGGTTGTTGATGATGCTTCCTTTGGTGAGGAAGCTTTGGATGGATGTTGTTGTTGTAGTTCTTCCATCTTCTTCGTGGGAGGATTAATATGATATGATATGGTAGATAGAAAGGCCGTGTTCACTGAGAAAGTTGAGAATTTTTCTCTGTTTAGCCAATTGATGAATGTAGTTAAGTTTGAAAACCATGATTTGTTTGATTGATTTAAGTCTCTTTGCTATGGTTAGTGGCTCCAAGCATGCGATTAACCAACAGAAATGGGTGCTTATCTTAACTGTTCACTTCATAGTATGAGTTTTCTGTTTGTGGAGTTATCGGATGTATCCGAAGGGACTGTCTGTGGAGTTAGAATTGTGTATATAATGTAGAAAAGAAGTTTAGTGCAGTGGGTAAAAGAGCTTCCATGAATGATGAGACATTAAGGTCAAACTTAGTTAGGATATTTAGAGCATGGTTGTGGCTGATCGATATGCAAATACAGGAGGTCTATTGGCCTTAGAATATACGGCAGCTTGGGAGTTACTCCCAGTTTTATTCTTTATTGTACATTCCGTGCCTCGATCTCATTTTGTATTGTTCATTTCGTTGTTGCCTTTGCTTTCAAACTGAAGAGAATAACTGTGCTGGGGTTGTTCTGCTTGCTTCTTTAGTTCTTTGGTCTTGATTGGGTTTTAGGGATGTAAGGAATGGGTTTGTAGAGTTTACTTAATAGTCAATTTTTATCTCCCACATCCCACTAGAGTTCGAGTTATTTTCAGGGTTTGTAGTGTCGTTACCGTTGCTTGTTGATTACATTTTGGACTGTTAATTGAAGGGTCTTGCTTGGCTGCATGAAAGGTGCAATTGAGTGTGTTAGTCAAGAACTATTTCATGAAATCAGGGTGACTTCAGTTTTAGCCAGTCTGGATGGAAATAGAGCGAGTGTTTATGGTGGTGTCATGGGTTATGGAAAGCTTAGTGGCTATGCTCGTGGTCATGTTATTTAGCTCTCAAAAGTTGTAAGTTGTGTGTGGTTTCTGGAAATATCACGGCTGTGAGAGAGACCGTGGATGTAATTCTGGAAATATCACGGCTGTGAGATAGGCCGTGAGAGAGACCGTGTATGTAAAAACGCACTTCTCAGTTTCCCAGAGGTTTTCACGGGTTGCCTTCGACAGTATCACGGCCGTGAGATGAGCCGTGTTTTTGGATATGGATGATGGGCATCTCACGGCCCCTTTGTAAATTCTCACGGGCCCCTTTGTAAATTCTCACGGCCCCTTTGTAAATTATCACGGCCCATTTGTAAATTCTCACGGGCGTGAGAATAAGCCGTGTGATTGTCTGGAGATTGTCTGGGATATAAAAACTACTCTTTGCTTCTCACGGGTCATGTCACGGCCGTGAGAATTTGCATTTTGGGTGAAATTTAATGGAAGCTGGGTGTTTTGGGTGAAATTTATATATGCCAATGGCGGATTTCATGGTTAATTAGTGTACTCAGGTGTTGATGTAGGGGGTTTTCAGTTCTTCTGGAAGTTAGAACTTGTATTTTGTTTGTACTCTTCGGCATGCTTATAATTCGTGTTTCAAGGCATGCTTATAATTTTTCTGTTGTTTTAATTTTGCAGTTTGCTAAAATTGTTCTATAATGAAGACGAAGAGGCATCAAATTTTCAGCACGCGATGTTCTCCTAGGAAAGTATTCTCACTAGTCTCAAATTTAGAGGCTTGTCAATCAGAGGCCATTAAGAGATGTGGCTTTGGTCGTATTCTTGAATTCAAAGCAAGAAAGCTACAACGTGAGTTGTTGGAGAAACTTGTGAAGAGCTTTAATATGGAAGAAAGCACAATTAAGGCGTATGGGTTGGAAGTGCATATTTCGGCCAAAGATTTCGAGCGAATTATGGGTGTGCCTGAGGGAGGTACTGATATCATCTTGAATGGTGAAGAAGTGGAGGGAAGATCAGAGGAACTGGAACCATTTAGAGTGTTTTCGACACGTGATTGTGGCCGACAGGCGATTTCCACAAGCTTAATGCAGAAGGAGTTGTCGAAGATGAAAGATAGCGACGATCTATTTCTTCAAATGTTTATTTTGTACGTAATGGGGGTGCTATTAGTACCAACTAGAAGAGAGGACATTTCCTTGTCTTTGGTATACGCTGTCACCGATGTTGCAGACATTCCGAAGAAGAATTGGGCATCCTTTTGCTTCAATGAATTGGTCAAATGCATCTGCGACCATTATGCTTATAGGAGAGAGTATATACGGGGTTGCTTGCTGTTTTTGGAGGTAAATAATTGCTAATCCCGACTTTCTACATATTTGTAATGATTAATCATCATTTTGATTATAGTATTTTTTTTTTGTAGTTAATATTCTTGGAGCATGCAAATGGTATTTTCCAAACCATTGATAGGAGTTTGGATTTGATGAGTTGGGAGAGCGGAGACGTGGAGTTATTGTTAACAAAAGTGGTAAGATTGATAGTATATTTGATTCTTTTGACAAGTTGGAGCATGCTAATGGTACATTTGGTTCCCTTTTTAATTAATTTATAGGTTTCCAGCAGTTCGGGGAAAAGATCAGCTGAGGATGCCGGTTTGAAATCACCTCCAAGGAAACGGGGAAAAGGAGACGGGAAACGGCACAAACCCGACGGGGATGAGCTGCTTCTCTATGAGCGTATTGATGCTCCGTTTAGTACCATGGAGGGTAGAATTGACAACTTTGGTCAAGAATTTAGAGTGGCAATGGGTGATGCTGCTTCTAGAGATAATGAGCTAATGAGCCGGGTTGTGAAAATGGAGAACGAATTTCGGGCTTTTAGAGACGAAATCGGTACTGCAGTGAAGTCCCTTATAGAGGCAGTGAAAGCAACTGTAGGTGATCCGTTGTCAAGGGAGCAGCCTAGGGAACCCATTTCTCCTACAACTGAGTTGAAAAAGAACGATCAGAAGGGTGAGGTTGAAAAACCTAGGGAACCCATTTCTCCTACCTCGGAATGTGTCAAGACTGCCAAAGTTGACAATTCGGGAGAAGCTGAGGGGGAAATTGGAGATGACAGATGTTCTGAATCTCCTTCTGTGAAAGTTGTGAAAAAGTCTCCTTGCAAGCAGCCTAAAGCGTCTCAAGTTGAGAAATTCATATTGTTGAGTGATGAAAGTGTTGCTGCTAATGACGGTTGTTCCAAGGCTGTGAAGGTATTTCACTTGATTAAGTTTTCTAATTATTGGTTCTTATGGTGTGGTTACTAATGAACTGGTTTTGTTTTTATGTTTTTGAACAAGAAAGGGGCGAAAGGGAGGTGCACTACGTAGTGTGTCTAAATTGAAGCCTAGTTTGTATGTGGTCTCTCCATTCGAACGGGCAAATCCCAGAGCTAAGAAAGCACAACCTTTGTACCGTGCTCCTCCCTTTGTTGTTCAGACACCATTGACTCTGGAGGCAGTGAAGATGATTCAATTTGCTTTTAGTAGTGAGCTTCCCGAAAGGTACCTCCCGAAATCATTACAAGTAAAATTGGATCATATTTGTAGGATGTTTTTGGTATTTGCCTTATTCTAATGTTGTGTTGTTTGAACTTGGTATTGTATAACAGTGACATATTGGTTAGTGTTGGTGGCGGGGTTCTTTCCTTGTTACGTGAAGATTTTGTCGAGCTTTTGCCAAGGACCAAAATTTCAACAAGGGTAAGTTCATTTATGTGTGTAATTTAGTAGATTGAACGTGTATTGCTGACTTTGGTATATGTGATGATGATGCATTAGATTATAGAAATGACGTGTCTGTGCAAGACACTAGAAGAACGAAGTTGTGGTCGCCGTGGTGGCTTGTCTTGGTTCTTTCCACCTTCAGTTTCGGTACAGTTGTCTGCTTTGTCTATTCTTGTCATGAAATTAATCTATTTTTTGTTACATGTAGCTTGTGTGGGTGACTGTGTTTTATTTTTCTAGGATCGTGCGAGTCATTGCAACGAGGAGCAATTTATGGCTAAGATGCGTTCATATAAGATACATGAGCGATACTGTATTGGTGAGCTACTAAACTGCAGTAAGGTATGTTGTAATGTTGTTTTCTAAAAGGAAATGGCTTCACCCTCCTATGTTAAATTGATAATTATTGTTTTTTTGTCCATTATTTCAAATTCATGTCCCAATTTTCAACCTCACGTTGCAGCACTTCTATCTGGCGGTCTTTAACATGGAAGCGAAAGAAATTGAAATCTGGGACTCATTACGAGGAACTCATAATGAAGAATATGATGCAAGGATGCAGAAACTGGTTTGCTTCTTGTTCTTCAAGTTTTCAAGCTTTACGTATTGCTTAGTTGTTAGTTGTTTTTCATTTGCCGACTTTGTCGTTATATATCGATGAGGGGGATGTTTTCATTTGCAGAAATTGGGTCTAGATTGGTTGCTTAAGGATGATATCTGCGGGGCGTTTTCATTTGTGGACTTCGTGGTTAGATATCGCCAGGATGTTGCTTGCCAACCAAATGGGTACCCTTTGTTGTTGTTCAATCGTGCATTGTTCTAATTAAGTTTGATAATTATTTGTTCGCATCATGACCATGGTAATTATTTGTTATATTACAGATTTGATTGTGGACTATTTGTCATCAATTACTTGCTGGATCCAGATCGATATTCGAAGAAGCTTGACCAGTTCCACAGTGACTATGAGCGGGCACAACTTACAATGTACTTGCTCACTACGGATCTGAATGAGGTGAAAGCTACAGTTAAGACACAATCAGATGAATATTTTGAGAGACATGCAAGACCTGCGCAAATCGAGACTGAGAAGGTGAATTTCAAGACAAACTTACTCAATCGAGGAAGAAAACCGTTGCACGCGCATGGGGAGAAAAAGGGTAGAAAGTCTAAGAACCATTGAGACTTGTGATGTTAATGTAGAGTTTAGTTAATGTGGATGTTGATTGAAGTTTATGATAATGTAGATGTTGAATGAATTTTAGTGAATGTAGATGTTGAATGAAGTTTAGGAAACTGTTGAAATTACAATGAAGTTATGAATGAAGCATTATTCAGTGATGTTATTTTTTCTCTATATTATGTTTAATGTGTCGACAAGGAAAAAATTATGCATGATCATATACCGAAAAATGGTTGAAAATGGACTTGAAAGCAGGCGTGTTTTTGGATTTGTAATTCTGGAAATATCACGGCTGTGAGATAGGCCGTGAGAGAGACCGTGAGATTTTTTACATCAAAAGGTGGAGTTCCAGACAGTTTCACGGGTTGCCTTCGACAGTATCACGGCCGTGAGATGAGCCGTGTTTTGGATATGAATGATGGACATCTCACGGCCACTTTGTAAATTCTCATGGGCGTGAGACTTGGCCGTGAGATGGGATTTTATAACGGCTTAATGATGGTAATTTTACGCCCGTGAGACTGGGCCTTGAGATTCAAAAAATCATTCCCTATGTTCAGAGAACCTCACGGTCTTGAAAGGACCATCTCACACCCGTGAGATTGTGGGCTCGCTTGTTATTGATCCGGTGGGTTCTCATTGCACCATTGCCCAGTCCACTCAACCAATCTCCCAAAAAAACCTTGCGGATCTAAATTTGTTGTCAAAGGTAAATGTTCCAACCAACACTTTCATTTTCACAGTGAATGCTAAAACATAACTAGTCGGGATTCAAACAATCTAGGATTGTTTTTGTGCAAGTTTTGGATTGCCTACTAATCTAGTTCCTTTTGAACATTGAGCAAATGTAACTAATGCTTCTGATATTGATCATGTCTGTGTTTGGTGGTTAAGGAGAATGGTGTGGTAGGCATTGTTGGCCTCCCTCATCCTGCTCGACCTCTTGCAACAGATGAGGCAAACGCATCGGAGCATGTTGTTCAGCAAATGGTCGAGGAGACTCCGGAACAACCTGCACAACATCACCAAACTACGACTCAAGCCGGACCATCCACCGACAGCTACATATCCTATTTTGAGGCATTGGGTCGGCAGAATGCCCAAATTCTGGAGCAAAATGCACTCATTCTCTCCCGCCTCGATCGAGAGAAGGAAGCTCGACGCTACATCATCGAATGCAACCATCAGATCATGAGGTCCTTGAGGATTGACTACGAACAATTCTCAAGACCTTGGGAACTATCTCCTAGGCCAACCGAGGAGATCAATGAAGAGGGAAGTGAAGAGGATGACGAGGGTAATGACGATGAGCAAAAAAAGGAAAAAAATCAAGAGGACAAAGGAGAGGAACAAAACAAGGAAAGCAGTGAAGAAGACAATGACACCAATGAGGAAGACAGCAGTGAAGAGGACGACGACGAGGGAAATGGCGATGACCAAAACAAGGAAAAAAATCAAGAGGAAAAAGGAGAGGAACAAAACAAGGAAAAAAATCAAGAGGACAAAGGGACCGATGAGGAAGACAGCAGTGAAGAGGACGACGATGAGGGCAATGGCGATGACCAAAACAAGGAAAAAAATCAAGAGGTCAAAGGGAACGATGAGGAAGACAGCAGTGAAGAGGACGACGACGAGGGCAATGGCGATGACCAAAACAAGGAAAAAAATCAAGAGGTCAAAGGGAACGATGAGGAAGACAACAGTGAAGAGGACGACGACGAGGGCAATGGCGATGACCAAAACAAGGAAAAAAATCAAGAGGTCAAAGGGAACGATGAGGAAGACAACAGTGAAGAGGACGACGACGAGGGCAATGGCGATGACCAAAACAAGGAAAAAAATCAAGAGGTCAAAGGGACCGATGAGGAAGACAGCAGTGAAGAGGACGACGAGGGCAACCACAATGACCAAAACCAGGAAAAAAATCAAGAGGTCAAAGGGACCAATGAGGAAGACGGCAGTGACTCTAGCGAGGACAATGAAGATGAGCAAATCCAGGAAAACAAAGACGAGGACGAGAACACTAACGAGAAAGATGGGCAGTGAAGATGAGCCAACCAAAGTCCTTAGTACTTAGCTATGTGTGTTTGCGTTTGTGCTTGCATGTTTTCCAATTAGAATATTATGATGCACCAGTGTGGGCTAAAACTTAAGCATTAATTAGACAAATTTAATCGTGTTATGGATGCTTGTTTTATAAGACAAATGTAATGCTTTGACTGCTTTTTACTTTTTGTTAACAGGGTATCTCATCTGATATGATGTATGTACTAGAGAACATTGTGAATGTCTATGCAGGTGAATGTCAGACTATTTCTGGAAATCTCACGGCCAATTCTGGAAATCCCACGGCCGTGAAAGAAGGAGTGGTTTTGGATATGTAATTCTGGAAATATCACGGCCGTGAGATAGGCCGTGAGATAGGTCGTGGATGTAAAAACGCACTTCTCAGTTTCCCAAAGGGTTTCACGGGTTGCCTTCGACATTATCACGGCCGTGAGATGAGCCGTGATTTGGATTTGAATGCTGTACTTCTCACGGCTCATCTGTTAATTCTCACGGGCGTGAGAATAAGCCGTGTGATTGTCTGGAGATTGTCTGGAGATATGAAAACTACTCTTTGCTTGTCACGGGTCATGTCACGCCCGTGAGATGAGCCGTGTTTCCTAAAAATTGAACCTACACTTTCTAGAGTTGTACCTTTACACTAAATTTAAAGTTGTACCTACACTTTCCTAAAAATCTTCTATGGTACAATTAAAAATTGTACCTATACACTATAGTACAACTTAATGTTGTACCTACACTTTCTAACAAATCCCTCTATGGTACAACTCAAAATTGTACCTATACTAATGGTACAACTGTTAGTTGTACCTACACTTTCTCAAAATCCTTCTATAGTCCAACCCAAACTTGTACCTATACCATGGTACAACTTTAAGTTGTACCTACACTTTCTAAAAATCGTTCTATGGTACAACCCAAACTTGTACCTATACCATGGTACAACTTTAAGTTGTACCTACACTTTATCAAAATCCTTCTATGGTACACCCCAAACTTGTACCTATACTAATGGTACAACCTTAAGTTGTACCTACACTTTCTCAAAATTCTTTTATGGTACAACTCAAAATTGTACCTATACTAATGGTACAACTTTAAGTTGTACCTACACTTTCTAATAAATCTCTTTATGGTACAACTCAACATTGTACCTATACTAATGGTACAACTTTTAGTTGTACCTACACTTTTTCAAAATCCTTCTATGGTACAACCCAAACTTGTACCTATAGTATGGTACAACTTTATGTTGTACCTACACTTTCTAACAAATCCCTTTGAGGTACAACTAAAAATTGTACCTATACGAATGGTACAACCTTAAGTTGTACCTACACTTTCGAACAAATCCCTTTATGGTACAACTAAAAATTGTACCTATACTAATGGTACAACCTTAAGTTGTACCTACACTTTTTCAAAATCCTTCTATGGTACAACCCAAACTTGTACCTATAATATGGTACAATTTTAAGTTGTACCTACACTTTCTAATAAATCCCTTTATGGTACAACTCAAAATTGTACCTATACTAATGGTACAACTTTAAGTTGTACCTACACTTTCTAATAAATCTCTTTATGGTACAAATCAAAATTGTACCTATACGAATGGTACAACTTTTAGTTGTACCTACACTTTTTCAAAATCCTTCTATGGTACAACCCAAACTTGTACCTATACCATGGTACAACTTTAAGTTGTACCTACACTTTCTAAAAATCCTTCTATGGTACAACCCAAAATTGTACCTATACGATGGTACAAATTTAAGTTGTACCTACACTTTCTAACAAATCCCTTATGGTACAACTAAAAATTGTACCTATACTAAAGGTACAACCTTAAGTTGTACCTACACTTTCTCAAAATTCTATAATGGTACAACCCAAACTTGTACCTATAACATGGTACAATTTTAAGTTGTACCTACACTTTCTAATAAATCCCTTCATGGTACAACTCAAAATTGTACCTATACTAATGGTACAACTTTAAGTTGTACCTACACTTTGTGAAACAAATTCTTCAATGGTACAGCTGAAACTTGTACCTATACTAATGGTA